TGGCCGACTGATGACCGGCGACCGATTGCCTCACCCGGGAAGAGCACAATGATCATACCAATGTGGGCCAGTGAAGCAGCGTCCTCCACAACTAGACTGAAGAACAACAATAACAACAAAAAACCCCCCCACAAAAAACAGCAATTTGTCTACCTGTCTTTTCCCCTTCCCCAATTCCCCAACACTGTTCCCCTCCCCCCAATTCCCCACTAAAATCTTAAAAAAAAAAGAAGAAGAATGGAAGAAAAATCTCAGCTAGAAAAGCCCACCTCTAAGTGAAATGGATTAATTTGAGACCTGCGAAGTTAATGTAATAACTACAACAGTCTTGTAAAGTGTTCTCCGAGATGGTGACTAATCACCATGCTCTCGATTCTGTTTATTTCTGCATTTTTAGTGGTGCCCAAATAAGCATTTAATTGTCATAGCAAATGTCAGAGCGAAGATTGCGGTGGTCCATTTCCTCTGTCCTCTATTTAGCCAACCTACCCATGATGAACTCCCGAGTACTGTATAAGCAAATATATGTTTGGAAAATTACCAGGAGTTTGGATTTTCTGCCCTTTTGGCTTCAGGCCGGGTATGAGACCATGAATCTGAGGTGCCTGGGTAGGAAGGTATCTCAGAGGTTTGGGCATTTAGCAGAACAGCACATGTGACTATGTGCACTTCTGCCTCAGCCCGGGGTTTTACCCCAAAGATAAACACTGGAACATTAGGTGCTGGCTAGAGAACTTGCAGTGTGTTTGTCCCTGTGAAACTGGGCTCTCCATCCATAATGGGAAATTGTTCTCTAGGGTAGCGAGCAAAACTGTAAGGAGCCTCTGACTGCTATTTGGTGAGATTTATTTTCTTTATCTCTATTGCCCTGAGCTTTTTTCATCAAAGACAAGCTGCTTAGTTATATGAAGCACACATCTGGAATGGATTTGTGATTTTTCAATTAGCAATACAATTCAGACTTCTAGAGGCTAAAGAGGGCTTGTTATAATTGTTGGGTTCTGAGTCTGACCCTGACTTTACTTCTGGTTTCTTTCTAAGCCCCCATGTGATTCTGATTCTCTTAGAGCGTTTCGCCGCCCCCAAATCCCTTACGGTGTTTGTTGTTTGTTGAATCTATTTTATCATTTCTCTGGTTGTGGATGACCCTATAATACAGTATTCAGCAGAGCAGAATGTGTTTTGGTTAGGGAAATTAGCTTCTTTCAATTGTATTATTTTCAATAAAGTAATTGAAAGCATTTTAACATTTTCTGACACTGCCCTTATAAAGTTGTGTATGCACTTTCTTTCTAAATTAACAACAATCATAAAAGCTTTCTCCATGTTGATATTTGTCCTATAAACCCAGTTCAAAGTACCCTTTTCATTACTCAATATTTTAAAATTATCAGAGGGGATCTAGACACCCTAGCCATTGTCCCCTCTAGCCCTGTATTTGCTCTTTCCTAGGCATCATCCTGTAGACTTCCATTTTACTTGGAGCATTGAACAAGAAGGTGCTTTTCTGCAAAGGCCTGAATGACTGGGCATCAGTGACGTTCCCAGCTCCCTATTTCATTTTAGAAGGGACATCATCTTTTGAATATTTGGGTTGATTGTTCAGCCATAGGCCTGTTTGGGGAGGTTTTCAACTCTAGAATTTGCTTCTAATTAGAAAGCTGAGTGATAACGATAATGGTTTTATTTTCAGATTTTTTTCAGATTTTTAAGCAAACTGGAGTGAGAATACTCAGAGAAACAAGTATTTTGGTACTTTTTTTAAAAGCTGATTTTAATGAGAAGTTATTTCTAAACCAAAATATTCGTGGAATTACCTTACTCAGGATTCCCTAAATTCATACAGCATAACTTTCCATCTTGCCCAAGTAATTCTACTATTTTTCATCATCTGTAAAGCTGAAAAAATAGTGAATGCTTCTCTATACCTTGACCATGACCCTTCAAATGAGAATTTAAATTTGGTAACTTGTTTCAAATAACATGTTAAATGATCAGAATCAATGCCTTTACTTTTGCTTTTTCTTACACATCTTAACTCTGTCTTTTAGGCCAAAGGAGGGCTTTCTGGTTTATATGATGGAGCTGAAGTTGTTCTTGGTCCTGACACGTCCATGGAACTTCTGGGGCCAGTTCCACCGGAGCAACAATTTATTAACCAAAAAATGAGGCCTGGTTCTGGAATGTTAACCATCAGAGTCATCCCAGATGGACCAACTAGAGCACTCCAGGTGATAATTTATCCTAAGCACTGACATGAATGAATCTCAGTGTGCCTTTTCCCCCAAAATGGTTAGTCATTCAACAGATATTTATTGAATGATTTATACTGGATATGGAAATATAATGTCTTCATTTATAAAATGGGGATAAGACCTACTTCACAAAGTTGTTGGAAGAATTAAAGTATAAGTGAATATAAGATATATAAAAAAATATAAGAATTGGGCCGGCCAAGTGGCGCATTGATTAAGAGTTGGCTTGGGACACCAGCTCTGAGCAGCAAGGCCCTAGTTCAGATCCCACATTAGGGCTAGTGACTCTGCCCTCTACAGCTAAGATGGTGAACAACAGCTCGACCTGGAGCTGGGCTGCCGTGAGTCGCCAGTGACGGCGTAGGCTGCAGCCGCTGCTGCAGTGGGCTGCCATAAGCTACTGTGTGTGGCTGGCAGCCAGCGTGAGCGGCTGTCCAGAGGCCGGCGACCGATCTGCCTCAGCTGGGAAGATCGCAATGATAATACCAACATGGGCCAGTGAAGCGACGTCCTCCACAACTAGACTGAAGAACAAAAGAACAGCAACTTGTCTGTTCCCCTTCCCCCGATTCCCCAGCGCTGTTCCCTTCCCCCAATTCCCCAATTTAAAAAAAAAGAATTAAGATAATGCCAAGAACAGTACATATTAACATTATCAATCATTATATTGTATATTTATTATATGTTTAAATAATTGATATGTTAATAACATTCACAAAAAGAAGACTTGAGGTCCCTAATCAGACAGTTAAAATGTTGTGTTATGCAAGTAGGACTGGAGGGTGTTGTGGAAAGGATGTAGAAAGGATTTGTAGTCCCTGATTTGGAGAATGGAGGGGCTTCCTAAGAGAAGTAACACTTAAGCTGAGATCTAAAGGTTAACTGACGGGACTAGCCAAATCAAGAGGGAAAGGAGGAGGGACTGCACCCTAACAGTGAGAATGTTTCTTCAACAGTTGTGTATTGAGCATCTACTAGAGCTAGGCACGGCTCTCGGTACCAAACGCATACTAGTGAGCAAACAGGCAGAATTCCCTGCCATCTTGGAGCTCACGTTCTAGGGGCTGGGCAAGAAATAAGCAAGAAACATAATGAGTAAATTATTTTGTATTTGGGAAGTTGATAAGTGAAGGCCTGGGGATAAAAGAGGGTGACTCAACTGGCACGGGAATACGCTAGGAAATAAGGCTGGGGATAGAAGCAGGGGCCAGATCATTAAAAGGCTGAGACGTGCTGAAGATTTGCGGTTTTTTCTATGTCAACAAGGAGTCAGGGAATGACATGATCAGAACTTCATTATAGATTGTCACTATGGTGCAGTGTGGAGAACGGCGTGGGGTAAAATTGGAGATAGAGACTGGGGAGGAGGCTCTTGCGGTAATCTAGATGAGCGATTACGGTGACCCAAACTCGAGCAAGTGGCAGGGGTGGGAGGAGGTTGGAGGGACAGGAAAATAGAAATGAAAGCGTGTTAAGGAGCCGAGTCAGTCAGGTTTAGTGATTGAATGTGAGGGTGAGAGAGAGGAAGGGGTCAACAACGGCCTTCAGGATTCAGGTTTGGGCAACTAGGCGGACGAGAGTCCACACCTCTAGCCAGTGAACATGCAGCAGGCTTCCGGGGGAAACGCGGAGTTACATTTTGGACTGATTCAGTGTATGCTATCTACATGAACATGTGCGGAGCTCAGTGTAAACATGGGTCTGAAGTTCAGGGGAGAGACGTATGCCCCGAGATGTGGATCTCTAGGCCATGGGAGGTAGAGAACTAAGGGAAAAGGAGAGATGGTGGTATGTTACAATGAACTCCGCGAGGCAGTGCATCATAATCCATAATGCCTTTGTAAAAGCACTCTTCTCTAAGGCAAGATTGAACGCAGTGATCCTGAGCTTTGCATGTTTTGACGTCGGCGATAATTCTAGATGCCTGATCCCACTATAAGACGCTTCCAAGGTCTGAAGCTTGGCATTTGCCATGTAGACTAAAAACCAGGTTTGCCTCCTTATTACATAAATCTCACCTTAGCAGTGTTTTGGAAGCAGCTAACTTCTACAGGATTATGGTGCATGTAGTGAGTTTTGACCTATACCAGTGACGTGGAATAGGTTTCACTATGGAAGTATCAGCCCACTTAATATGGTGTTTTATTTGACCTCAGATAACAGATTTCTCCCAACGGAAAAGTGACCGTTCATTGTATGAAATGGATGAACTTCCTGTTACTGAACAAGCGCTGCAGAAATTAAAGAATCCAGAGACAGAGCAGGAATTGGAAGTAAGTTTTAAGTATTGCAGATTCATTTCTTTATCTTAAATTTGGTTAGAATTTGGCTCTGCGGTTTTCTCAGTTTAGACCTCTTTTCTTTCTGCCCTGGACGAATTTTAAGTATAGGTGTTGCTTCACAGTGTTTAATGTTCTCACAACATGAATGTGTGAATGTTATTTATATGACAGCTGTAGTTGAATCAGAATGTAACAAATGTTGCTAAAGTAAGATGACAGTAAAGAAAGCTAAACTATTTGAATTTAAACAGGTCTGAAGGTGGAGAATAAGCAAAATAGATTTTGTTTTGTTTTGGCCCTAGTTGACTCTGATATCTTCCTTCTCTCTCCCTGTTTGGGAATTGGGAAGAAAATGAAAAGTTTAAAAAGGAACATGACAAAGCACACCTATTCAATATTTAGTCAGTGATTAAAAAAAAAATAAAATACCTGTATGTAAAGCAATGTGTTGGATAGTATGGTAGTTGGATAGTATGGTAGTGAATAACTTATTAAGAGCTTGCATCCCAAATAGAGAGACAGAGTCTCAAACAATTATTTTCCTATAATGAAATGCAGAATGTCACCAGTGCTCCGATAGAGGTATTATCACATCACTCTGGAGCTCTGGTTGGGAGGGGGGGGATGATGGGATTTGAGCCATCATGGTGAATAATAGGACTCTGCTAAGAGATTTTCATCTGATCAGAGGTAAGGTAGAGGCATTTAAAGTCTTGTATTTCCTTGCACTCTCTTGGCTACCTCGAGCTCTGTTTTAAACTGTCGGTGTGCCATATTTTGGCTTCTTTTTAGGTGCTTGTGAAGTTAGAAGGTGGAATTGGGCTGTCCTTAATTAATAAAGTCCCAGAAGAATTGGTCTTTGCAAGTCTTACAGGAATCAGTGTGCACTATACACAGTTGGCAACCAGTCATATGCTTGAACTTAGCATACAGGATGTACAGGTAAGGAACCGGGGGGAGAGGCATTCAGAACTTGTTAATCTCCTTGTTTTTGTTATACACCCAACCAGATCCAGTGTTTGCTGTTCTAAAAACTTCAATGCTTTGGAAATACCTTGTTGTGGCCTTCAAAAAGTCATTCTATGCATATAATTGTTTCTTCCTACATTTGTGTCACTAATTTTCCTATATAGCAGAATTCTGAATATAGTAGCTAGTCCATCAGTAACTTAGATAACTTAGTCAAGGTGGCATGGAGGAAGGTGACCCGTGGTTCCCCATCTTGCCAATAGAAAAAAACAATAGGAAATCATCTAACCATCATTTAGAGGAATTGAAGTTCATCACCCAAAGAAAAATTAAGGGAACTGGAATTTTGCTTCTAGCCAAGATGTAATAACAGGAACCAGATTTACTCTCCAGTGTGAAACAATCCCAAAGTCCAGATAAAATAAGGAGACTGCAGGTTCAAGACACTGGACATCAGACAACAAAAGACAGTGACCAGTGAGAGTTGGGGGGGGAAAAAAAAAAAGAGGGGAGCCCTGTTGTGGCCTCAGCTTACTGCCTTGAGAGTTTCCAGGCCATGGCACTTGACGGGAGAATTAGAGTGGATGAGTTGAACAAACAGCTGAGAATCCCAGGACCAAGGCAGCTAAACCTGAAAGGAATGTACTGCATGGAAAGAAAACTGGGGAGATTGCAGAAGGGCTCTGCGAGTCTTCAGCAGAGGACAGCTCAGAGATGTATGTGAGGAATCTACCATCTGATTCATCCAGAAGGATCTCAGGGAGAGCGTCTGCTGCTCACCCAGGGCTGGAGACGGTGCTTGTTCTCCCCAGCCAGACTGGAAAAAGTAATTATGTGTGGGACGTTGAGAAGAGTCCTCCAGAAAGGCTTGCCTCCATGCTGAACTATAATAAGCCCTATGCTGAGCACCGCTCCAGACCTACCTAACAAATCTTAAAAGGAAGGTCTGAAAGGATAGATCTGTTTCCAAGTAAATTCACTGCTTCCCTGAACAAAGCTCAAGATTTAATGGAATACAAAAATATCCAGCCTCCAACAAAGGAGAAATTCACAATATCTGGCATCCTGTCATAAAGTACCAGGAGTACAAAGGGGCAGGAAAACAAAATATATAATCAGAAGAATAATGAGTCGAAATGGACCAAGAGCTAACACAGATGTTAGAATTTTCAGAGAAAGACATTAAAACTGTTATTATAACTATTGTACACATTCACAAAGTTAAGTAAAGACATGGAAGATATAAAAACTCCTAGAGATTAAAATGAAATTAAAAATATACTGGATTCGATGAATAGCAATGACACATTGTAGAGAAAAAGAGTAGTGAACTTGACGACACAGCAGTAGAAACTGTCTGAATTAAAATACGCAGAGAAAAATACAGGCATACCTCTTTATTGAGGCACATGCTTTATTACGCTTCATAGGTATTGCATTTTTGCAAATTGAAGGTTTGTGGCAACCCTGAGTTGAGCATGTCTGTTGGCGCCATTTTTCCAATAGCATTTGCTTACTTTGTGTCTGTGTCACATTTTGGTAGTTCTCATAGTACTTCAAACTTTTTCATTGTATTTATTATGATGATCTGTGATCAGTGATCTTTGATATTATTCTTGTAATTGTTTTGGGGTGCCACGAACCACCACTCCCATATAAGAATGCATACTTAATTGATCAGTTGTTTGTGTTCTGAGTACTCAACCAAACAGCCATTTCCCCATTTCTGTCCCTCCCTGTTCCCTGAAGCACAACAATATTGAAATTAGGGCAATTAATAACCTTGCAGTGGTCTCTAAGTGTTCAGGTGAAAGGACAAGTCACATGTCTCTCACTTTAAATCAAAAGCTAGAAATTATTAAGCTTAGTGAGGAAGACCTGTCAAAAGCCAAGATAGGCTGAAAGCTGGGCCTCTTGAGCTAGTTAGCCAAGTTGTGAATGCAAAGAAAAAGTTCCTGAAGCAAATTTAAAGTGTACTCTAATGGACACCCAAATGATAAGAAAGCAAAACAGCTTCATTGATGATAGGGAGCAAGTTTTACTGATCAGGATAGAAAGTCAAACCAGCTACAACATTCCTTTAAGCCAGAACCTAATCCAGAGCAAGGCCATAACTTCTGTTCTGTAAAGGCTGAGTGGTAAGGAAGCTGCGGAAGAAAAGTTGGAAGCTGGCAGAGGATGGCTCATGAGGTTTAAGAAGCCCTCTCCAGGGCCGGCCGAGTGGCTCAGTTGGTTAAGAGTTGGCTTAAGAGCGCGAGCTCTGAGTAACAGAGCCGCCGATTTGATTCCCACGTGGGCCGGTGATGCTGCGCCCAAGCTGAGCTGTCAACAGGTGGCAGGATGACTCAGCTGGCGTAACAACAAGACTGCCTGTTAGATGGTGGGCTATGCCCACCTGCAACTAAGACTGAACTTGGCACCTTGAGCTGAGCTGCCGCCCGGATGGCTCAGTGGACAGAGCGTGCGTTCTTAACAACAAGGCTGCTGGTTCAACTCCCGCATGGGATGGTGGCTACGCCCACCTGCAACTAAGGTTGTAACACAGCACCTTGAGCTTAGAGGCCACAAGCTGCCGACGGGAAGCCAGATGGTGACTGGCGCCCTCCACAACGAAGATTGAAGAACGACAACTTGGCTGGTCCAATTCCCCAACACTATTCCCCTCCCCCAATTCCCTAATAAAATCTTTAAAAAAAAAAAAATAGAAGCCGTCTTCACAATATAAAGCGGAAGGTGAAGAAGCAAGTGCTGATGGAGAAGCTGCAGCAAGTTACCCAGAAGATTTAGCTAAAATAATTAATGAAGGTGGCTCCACTAAACGACAGATTTCAATGTAGATTAAACAGCCTTATATCAGAAGAAGATGCCTTGTAGGACTTTCATAGCTGGAGAGGAGACGTCAATGCCTGGCTTCAAAGCTTCAAAGGACAGGATGACTTGTTAGGGGCCAATGCAGCTGGTGACTTTAAGCTGAAGCCAGTGTTCATTTACCATTCCAGAAATCCTAGGTCCCTTGAGAATTATGCTAAATCTACACTGCGTGTGCTCTATAGATGGAGCAGCAAAGCCCGGATGACAGCACGTCTGTTTACAACAGGGTTTAGTGAATATTTTAAGCCCACTGTTGGGACCTTCTGCTCAGGAAAAAAGATTCCTTTTAAAATATTGCTTCTCATTAACAATACACCTGGTCACCAAGAGCTCTGATAGAGATGGACAACAAGATTAATGTTGTTTTCATGCTGCTACCACAACATCCATTCTACTGCTCATGGATCGAGGTGTTATTTTGACTTTCAAGTCTTATTATTTAAGAAATACATTTCGTGGGCCGACCAAGTGGCTCAGTTGGTTAAGAGCTTGTTCAGGAGTTTGAGCTCTGAGCAACAGCGGTTTGATGCCCGGCCCGAGCTGAGCTGCTGCTGAGCTGCCAACAGGCGGCAGGATGGCTCAGCTAAAAAAGAAAAAAAAAGAAAAGAAATATATTTCGTAAGGCCATAGCTTCCATAGATAGTGATTCCTCTGATGGATCTGGGCAAAGTCAATCGGAAACCTCCTGGAAAGCATTTACCATTCTAGATGCCATGAAGAATATTCATGATTCATGGGAAGAGGTCAAAATATCCACATTAACAGGAATTTAGAAGAAGTTTATTCCGACCCCCTTGGAGGAATTTAACTGCAAATGTGGTGAAAAATAGCAAGATAACTAGAATTAGAAATGAAGCCTGAAAATATGATTGAATTGCTGCAATCTCATGATAAAACTTGAATGGATGAGGGAAGAAAGTGGTTTCTTGAGATGGATTTTTCTCCTGCTGAAGATACTGTGAATATTGTAGAAATGACAACAAAGGATTTAGAATATTATATAAACTTAGTTGATAAAGTAGCAGTAGGGTTTGGAGAATTGACTCCAATTTTGAAGAGTTCGACTGTGGGTGAAATGCTATTGAATAGCATCTCATGCTACAGAGACATTGTTTATAGAAGGAAGAGTCGATTGACGAGGCAAACTTCATTGTTGTCTTTAAGGAAACTGCCATGGCCACCAACCCTTCAGCAACCACCACCGCGCTCAGTCAGAAGCCATCAACATCGAGGCAGGACCCTCCACCAGCAAATCACCAAAGGCTCAGATGATGGTTAGCATCTTTTAGCAGTAAAGTATTTTGTACATTGTTTTTTTAGACATGATGCTATCACACACTTATATGCACTTAGAAACCAAAAAAATTCATGTGACTCACTTTATTGCAATATTTGCTTTATTGCGGTGGTCTGGAACTGAAGCCACAGTATCTGTGAGGTAAACCTGTAATCCCCACAAAAACAAAATAGCATCAATGACCTACAGGACAAGGGACAACTTCAAGCAGCCTACTATATGGATAATTGCAGTCCCCAAAGGACAGGAGAGAGGAGGGGACAGAAAAAGTATTTGAAGAAATTTGGCCATAGATTTTCTAAACTTAATGAAAACTATAAAAAAAATTATAAACTCAAGATGGAATTAGTTCAAACTCGAATCCACTCACACACATGCCATGAAGGAAACTACACCAAGGTACGTCATCATCAAATTACTCAAAACTAGTAATATGGCATCCAGATTAAAAAAGACATGTTATGTGCAAGGAACAGAGGTGAGAATGATACCTGGTTTTTCACTGCAAGCAATGGAAGTGAGAAGACAGTAAGCAATTAAAGTGCTGAAAGGAAACCGAACTGTAAGCCTAGAATTGTATGCCCAGCAAATATGTCTTTTAAAAACAAGGGTGAGGGCCGGCCAAGTGGCGCGTTGGTTAAGAACTGGCTTGGGACGCCAGAGGGCCCCGGTTCGGATCCCACATATGAGGGCCAGTGACACTGCCCTCCACAGCT